GGCTGGTTTTGAACCATGATCCTCAGATTTTAGCTTCCTGAGTAGCTAGGATTATAGGTGTGAGCCACCAGTGCCCAGCTTATAACTATTTTTTGAACTAGCAAAGCTTTAAGATTTTGATGAAGTCTAGTTTATAGTTTTAATTAGAAAAAAATTTAATATGGAAGTCATACCTGTATTAATATGCTCATACCTGCAATTCTAGCTACTAAAGAAGCTGAGAACTGAGGATTGAGGCTCCAAGCCAGCCTGGGCAGAAAAGTCCATTAGATGAAACTCTTTATCTTTAGTTAACAAACAAAAAGCTGGAAGTGGAGGTGTGGCTCAAGTGGTAGGGAGCCAGTTATCCTTTAGTGGATACAGAGCCAATTGAGAGTTCAAGGGCCTGAGTTCAAGCCCTAGTAATAGCATACAAAATAATTAAATCTAGTAAAAATAGACATAAAATTGTCCATTTTGGGGCTGGGAAGGTGGCTTAGTGGTAGAGCACTTGCCTTGCATGCCTGAGGCCCTGGGTTCAATTCTTCAGCACCACATAAGCAAAAAGAAAAAAGCTGGAAGTGGCACTGTGGCTCAAGTGGTAGAGTGCTAGCCTTGAGCTGAAGAGCTGAGGGACAACAGGCCCAGAGCTCAAGCCCCACGACCAGACCCCCCCAAAAAATTGTCCATTTTGATTGCTTTTTAGGATTATAGTTTAGTAGTGTTAAGTACATTCACATTATTGTATTATTGTCAACATCTTTCATCTTTAGGACATCCCCATCTTCCCCAGCTAAAATTCCTTAAACTAATTGACACCAGCACCCTATTCTAGCACATCTGCTAAGTGCTGGCAACACTTCTATGTTGTATCTATGAATTTGGCTACTCTATCAAATGTTATATTGTATTTGTCTTACAGTATTTGTTCTTTTGTTACTGTTTAGTCAGTGTCTTCATTTTTCTTCATATTGTATCATGCATTAAGATTTACTTGATATTTAAGTCTGAATAATATTATATATATTTTGTTTATCTATTCATTTTGTTTATTCATCCAGTGGGTGCTTGGATTGCTTCTATCGGTATTATGAACAGTGCTGCTATGAGTGTGTATGTTGAATTCCTGCTTAATTTCTATCAATTATAAACTAATAAGTGGAATTGCTGGGTCCTATGGTAATTTTTAATTCTTTGAGGAACTGCTAAGTCATTTCCACAGTGGCCATACCATTTTTATACTCTCACTAGCATTGCCCAAGGGGTGCAGATACTTGTGTTAATTTTCTGTTATTGTAATAAAATATAAAAGATAACCTAAAAATAGGAGCATCTTATTTTGGTTTAAGACTTCAGAATTTTCAGACCAGGTTGTTCAGGGCCTGTGGTAAGGCAGCATATCATGAAGAGCATGTGATAGAGCAAAGCTATTCACCTTGTAGTGAATGGGAAGCAAAAGAGAGAAAAAAGAGGGACCTAGGCCCCTATATCCCCTTCAGAGTCACATTTAAGTTCTCATTACTATTAGACCTTACCTCTTAAAGGTTCCACCAACTCCCAGTAGCTCACTGGCCTAGGGACCAAGCTTGGAATACATGGTTTGGGGAGATATTCCAGATCAGTATTTTTTTTTTTAATAACACCAATCCTAAATGGATGTGAAATGATAGTACATTGTTTTGGTTTGCATTTCCTTAACACTGTTAATGTAGCTGACCGTTTTGAACTTACTGGCCATTTGTATCAAAATCTGGACACATTTCTATTCTTGTCTTTTCCCATTTATAAATTGCTGCCTATTTTTGTTACTGAGTTATAGTTCTTTATTTTGGATGTCAGTCCTTTATCATACTTGATCTGTAGATCTTTCTGTGTGTTCTCTCTGTTGCCTCTTTGACACATAAAAGTATTAATTTTCTAAGTGCCAGTGGCTCAAGCCTGTAATCCTGGCTACTCATCTCAGGATGAGATCTGAGGATTGCTGTTTGAAGCCAGTCCATGTAGGACAGTCCCTGAGACTCTTACCTCCAGTTAATCACCAAAAATAATTACTTAATAAAACAACCAGAAATGGAACTGAGGCTCAAGTAGTAGAGTGATAACCCTTACCTTGAGCAAAAAAAGCTCAGGGTCAGCATCCAGGTCCTGAATTCAAGCACTAGGACTGGCACGGGGGTGCACACGCACACAAACACACACGAAGTTTTAATTTTGCTAGTGAGAATTCATGTTACTTGTCTCTTTATTAGCTATATTGTCCTAGAAATCATTGATAAATTCAATGTCATGAGGCTTTCCTCTTATGTTCTTAAGGTATTTTGATCCATTTTCAGTTAATTTTTATAAGCTATGAGTTTAATAGTCTACCTTATTTTTTTGCATATAGATATACAGTTTTCCTAGTATCAGTTTAAAAGACTGTCTTTTCTTTAAAAAAATTTTTATTGATATTTTAAGAGTGATGTTACAGAGGTGTTACAGTTACATAAGTCAGGTAATGAATATATTTCTTTTTGGACAGTGTCGTCCCTTAAATACTATTTTTTCTTTATTGTTGGTCACTGCATCTGAGTTTATTTTCTGCATTTTCCTTATGTCTTTGTTTTTTTGTTTTGTTGGGTTTTTTTTGGTGCGTGTGTACCAGTCCTAGAAGTTGAACTCTGGGCCTGGGCACTGTCCCTGAGCTTCTTTTGCTCAGGGCTAGCACTCTACACTTGAGCCATAGCACTACTTACAGCTTTTTCTGTTTATGTGGTACTGAGGAATTGAACCCAGGGCTTCATGCATGCGAGGCAAGCACTCTATCATTTAGCCACATTCCCAGCCCCTCCTTATGTTTTTTATTCCACTAAATATTCTTATTTCAAAAATGTAACAATCTATTCAAAATAACCTTGTGCTAATGAGGAACTGCTGTTTTTAAAAACATAAAGCAAGGGGCTGGGAAGGTGGCTCAGTGGTAGAGCGTTTGCCTTACATGCCTGAGGCCCTGGGTTCAATTCCTCAGCACCACATAAGCAAAAAGAAAAAAAAGCCAGAAGTGGTGCTGTGGCTCAAGTGGTAGAGCACCAGCCTTGAGCTGAAGAGCTGAGGGACAGCACCCAGGCCCAGAGTTCAGGCCCCATGACCGGACCCCAAAAAAACACAAAACCATAAAGCAAAACCAAAAAAATCATTTCAGTAGAATGTAACCTCCAATGCTAAGAGGTGGTTAAGATCCATCCAGACTGGTATATAATAAGCATTTGATTTGAGATTCCTAAATTTGAAGGGGAGTCTGAAAAGAGAATAAAAAGATCAGTGATTTACCAATCTGGGATAGTCACAGTTCAAAGAGAAAGTGGAGGGACAGAAAAGATCTAGTTACATTTTTGAAAACTACAACTATGCATTTTTGTAATTTCTCTTTTTTCCTTCAGTCAAAGATTAGTAAAAGTTTTGGTATATTTGTAGGATCAAAAAAGACAAAAAAGATGCATTGATGTCTAGGAAATAACTAAATAGAAATAGTAGCAGGTTACAATTCAAACTAAAGTGGACATTTATTTTATTTATATGCTTGTTAACTGGCTGATTGTTTTGAATCAGGGTCTGGTGATGGATCTCAGACTGTCCTCATAATTCAAAATCCTGAAGTGTGTACCATCACACCCAGCCTTTTAAAGGTACAACAGGACAGAATAGAGCAAGAAGGGAGTAAGAGCCTGAGTACAAGAGCCTGTTCACTGAGTACAATCAGAAGTAAAAGTTAGACTTTAGGGGGTTTTTTTGTTTGTTAGTTTTTTTTGTTTTTTGTTATTTGTTTTAAGAGAGAGTTATTTTTGGAAAGAAAGGAGAAGGAAAGGTATGTTCAGGATACCAGTAGTGTGGAAGGATGGTTACTACCCATCCATTTCTTTATCCACCTGAGTGATTTTAAAGGTAGCATATATGAACAGTTGTTAAAACTTTAGGGGTAGAATGTTGTTAGGTGAAAAAAGGCTAGCAGAGTTTGAATATGTTCCCTAAATCATTATAGATTTCACTAATAATTCTCCTTGCTATTGTCAAGAATCATTTTTATAGTTCTCGTGTTATATAAGTGAAGAATTAGCAGCCATAAAATAATTTTTAAGAATTTAGTTGAATTTTAACTAAGATTTGTGTTTAATCTGAATAATTGCAAGTACCTGAAGTGATACCCTCCCACTCGCCCCTCACCCCCATTCTTTGGAGTATTTAATTGGCTCTCTGTCCTTAGGTTCTACATTCATGACTTCAACTAACTATATAACTAAAAATATTTGATAGGAAAGCATATACAAACTTTCTTGCTTGTTATTGTTCCCTAAATAATATAGAGTAACAACTATTCTTACAGCGTTTATACTTCATTAGTTATTAGATGATTTAAAGTACATGGAAGGATGTACTAAAGTTATATTCAAGTAACTTACTGTTTTATGTAAGAGACATAAGCATCTGTGGATTAGGTATATGTGGTGGAACTAATCTCCCATAAATACCAGGGAAGAAGTATCAAAGAAGGGATGTGCCAGTGTTAAAACAATCCTTCTGAGCTTAAAATATAGTCAGGTAAGTTATGTGTAAATTAAGACAACTAATGTCATTTACTATCTAAATTCTGTATAAATTTAGAATAGGGAGATGACATTATGAGAAAAATATATTTTTTTCCAGTGATGGACTTGTGGTCTGTTAATAGCTTGTGAAATCAGCCCCTCCCACCTTAACAGATTAAAATAGTCATTTATAGGATTCATCACTGCAGTGCAGCAAAGGTTATGTTTTGTGATACTTCTGGATGTATATGTATATCTGTGTACTGAATTGGATATAGTTCTTACTTTGGGTTCTAATCAAACGTGTTACAGATCTGTAGGATGTTTTGATAAGTAGATGTGTATATTAATTAATTAATTTCATCTGTCTCTAGTATTCATTTTGAATTTTTATTCCTTCCTAACTAAAAACATGTATTTGTACCTTTCACATATCTTCCCTCCTCCCCCTTTCAATAGGTGCAATGGATGAACTTCATAGTCTGGATCCAAGAAGGCAAGAGTTATTGGAAGCTAGATTTACAGGAGTTGCAAGTGGAAGCACTGGGAGTACTGGTAGTTGCAGCGTTGGAGCTAAAGTGAGTAATTCTAATCTTTTAATATTCTTTCTTTGTACAAAATAGTCCAAGAATGTTTTGAAAAGAAACCCTACGTATGTATTTAACAGCTGATGATTACTTCTATGACTTTTATAGCATGTACAAGTAACTAAAAATCAGTATTTACAAATATTTATTTTTGGCATGGGGGATCAAACCCATGGCCTTATACATAGTATAAGCTATTAGCATAGTGAGCTATTAGCAGCTGTATAAACCTGATTACTGTTACAGCATAATACACTTTAGAGATATTATATTATAGAACAGTATAATATATTTCAAGGGTTCATAGTACTTTTAAGTACTGGAGTAATTAGTTAAGGCCCCACCCAGATACTCTGTGATAATGTGCCCAACACAAAGTCTTTACATTTAAACATATCTAAAAAGCCATCTTTGCCACTTTAATGTAACCAATTCATAGCTTCTAAACATTAGTATGTGGGCATCATTGGTGTCCATTAACAGTCACATACTACCATTCTTTTGCATTCTTATTACCTAAATTTTTTCTCTAATTTTAATATAACTGAAAATAATTGATGAACAATTCCTACTTTGATATTATAACAAAATATAGAAAAATAAGATCAAGAAGATCTCATACTGCATTTTAGAATTATGGAAGGGTCCAGTTGATATTTGATTGTTGTAAGAAAGTTTTTAAGAAAGAATAAAAGTTCTAATATATCATGTCTTTGTAAATACTGTATTATGAACAGTTCAAAAAAGAAACCCCCAAACTAAACTGAGTTCTGTAGACATCTCATATCCTGACAGCTACAGACTTTTTCCTTACTTTTGGGCCACAGAGTTATTGTATGGTTTCTTTTATTAGTGTATAGTTTTATCATCACTTATGTAAAGTATCAGCTAAGTATAATATATGTATTAATTTGGTTTTATTTTTCCTCCATCTATTGGCTGGTTTTCTCTACAATACTCCTTAAATCATCCATGTTTTTCTACTATTTTGTGGTGCTACTTTGATCAATATATGATTGCCATTTCCATTAGTAATTTGTTACATAGGAGATAAATATATATATGTATATGTGATGTATGATTAGCATGTGAGTCTTTATGATCTTTTGCTAATATTACATTAAAAACAACTGCTTTGGGGGGGAGGGAAAGTGGGAGAAAAATGAGGAAGGGTGTAACAATGTTAGACAATGAATACACTCACTACCTCACTTATGTAACTGTAACCCCTCTGTACATCACCTTTACAATCAAATTAAATTTAAAAAGCCCAAACTGCTGTGGGACTGACAGTGGCTCATGGCTCAACTTGAGATTCTTCTGCTTTAACCTGCAGTCACAGGCATGTCTCATCATATCTGATATAATATTGCAATCGTAGGACATTGTCTAATCTATGATCATAGAGGTCTTTAGATTTGCTTATGTAGTTTCTTTTATGATGTTTTTTATTTTTAGTGTATAGATACTTTATGTACATTTTATTTTGTGAAATTCAGTCATAATTTAATCAAACCTTTTCAATAGTTTTTTTTTTTTGGTCGGTCCTGGGGCTTGAACTCTGGGCCTGGGCACTGTCCTTCAGCTCTTCAGCTCAAGGCTAGTTCTCTGCTACTTGAGCCACAGCACCACTTCCGGTTTTCTGGTGGTTTATTGTCGAGAAAAGTCTCACAGACTTTCCTGCCAGTGTTGGCTTTGAACTGTGATCCTCAGATCTCAGCCTCCTTAGTCGCTAGGATTACAGGTGTGAGACCCCAGTGCCCAGCTCTTAACAGTATTTTAAATGGAATTTTCTTTATTTTGTTTCTATTTTTTGTTTCAATGGAGTTTTCTTAATTTTATTTTTAGTTTGTTTATTGTTGTCATGTAAAAATATAATTGAATTTTTTGTGTTGCTCTTGTGTCCTGAACTTGCTGAACCTGTTTGTTGATTTTGAAAGTGTTTTATAGTCATGTTATTTTTAGAATTCCTTGGTGTTTTCTAAATGCACAGTACTGTTTGCAGCAGTGATGAACTTAAGTCTGCTGTCAGATTTAACTTTAAGCATCCTGGGTCTGATGTTCTTCATCACAGATTTGATTAAAAGGCCAGGCTTGTTCCTATTTCTCTTTTCTATATTAATAGTTTTCCTAACCTTGTTAACGGTAACACTAAAAGGCTATTCATTTGTGAGTGGAGTCACTTTTGTGGTTGAGATTTTTTTTCTTTATTAACCATTCCAACTTTACTTCAACTCTGTATTATGTCACAAAGAAAGAGTAATATATATATATATATATATCTGTGTCTGTTTATCTATCTGTCTATCTGTCTATCTATCTATCTATCTATCTATCTGTCTGTCTGTCTATCTGTCTATCTGTCTATCTTATCTATCTATGTATCTATGTATCTATGTATCTATCTATCTATCTATCTATCTATCTATCTATCTATCTATCTATCTATCTATCTATCTATCTATAATTAGAGCTGTATACATTGCTGTTGAATTTTTACCTGAGTGGAATATGTACTTATGTTGTCATCTTCCTAGTTTGATCTTTCTAAAATCACATCCGATTGCCTACTCTTTTGGTTAGAAATTTTAAAATAGTTTTATACAAGTTTTAAAGTTTAAATTATTTAGCATTATAATGCCTTCCTGATTTCCTGACTTATCTCTATGGCCCAATTTTATGCCCATCTTCAATCTTTTCACATTCATGTTTTTCTGTAGTTAGACTGTGGTTCCATAAACAGGCATGGATTTTCACTTTTTCTTTTGGACATAGTGTTCACTTTGCTTCACATGTCTTTATCTCCATTTTCCTTAGACTTATCACTGTTTTGATTGCCAAAAGTCAGATGAGTAGCACTTTAAGAATGTTTCTTTGACAAGATTGCCCAAATCTAAATTTGGTGGACATCCTATGACCTTCCTTTGACATCTGGGTATATACAGAGAAAATTTATCTCATCATATTATATTTACTTCTGACTAGACTACTGAGATCTTAAGAATAAAGGACTTAAATCCTTATATCTCAGCTCCTTAATTTTGGGAAAGAACCATAAAAAGTTAAGAGGATGAGTTGATTTTAATTCTCTTTTGAAAATTTTAGAGACTGAGACAATTAGAAGGTTAGTTTTGAGATTTGCATATATTCCTGGGGAAAATACTTGGAATTGCATCTGGAATTTTCATGGACTCACATGGGCTTTGTGAACATGTTTTATAATATGCTATTGGTGTTGGTTAGAACCAGCAAGCTCTTTGGAGCTGAACATAGGACCAAAATTTGTTTTGTTTACTAATTTGCTTACTTCTGAACTGATAATATCACATCAAACAAACATTGAAATTACTTCATTGTGTGTGTGTCTGTGTATGTGTTGTATACACATGTTACCAGTACGTGTACCTGCTAAGATTTAACTGAGAACTTCACTCATGTTAGGCAAGCTGACAACCACTGAACTGCAATTCTAACATCTCTCAGCGTATCATTTAAGTTACTCATCTGTTTCACTTAATCTTTTGATTTCAGACAGTGAGTACAGTTCTTGTGTTAGATATCTTATAGTCATTCTAGTAATAGCTAAAGCAGGTTAAACATAGTTTGGTGACTTGTAGATGGAGATGCCTTGGTTTCTCACATTTATCATCTAGTTTGTGGGAATTTGTATGTTAAACCCACAGTTGAAAAAATTATTAAAATATGAAGCATTCTAACTAAATCCAATAGCATAAGCTTTTGATATTTTGGTATATTGTAATCGGTGATCTAAAGATGTTTGGGGAGATAGAGTAATGATACTTTTTTTTCTTTATATGCATAGGTACTACCTAAAATCTAAGATCCTTGATTAATATTTAGAAATAATTGATAACAGCAGAATGATGAATGCTTAATGGGCAATTTAACAGCCCAACAATAGAATAGTGGTAGGGCTGATTGAGATTAGGGGGAACCACAATCTATTTATCTTCAAAGTTCGTGGCTTTGTTTTCTACTTTTATCCACTTCATATTTTTTGCCAGATTGTAAATTTATTTTGTATCAATGATTAGACTTTATTTGCAGAAGAATAAATCAACTCTAGCTATCTTAAACAAAGAAAGAAGATATTGGCAGAATATGGAGCAATTCAAAAAATGGCTCAGAGACTGGAAATACCGGACTTGAATAGGAAGCAGGGCAACTCTGCTCGCTTGATTCAAACCAACAAAGAAACACATTCTTCTGTCCTGTGCTTATATATCACTGTCAAGACCCAAAATACTGGGAAGAGAGTTGATTAGTTTAGTATTGATTTTGTGCTTTCCCATTGGTTTCTTGGATGGAGAGTATATATGGGAAAAGGACCTTCCTTAGAATTTCAGTAGTGGCAGGCAGGTTGATTTATAGTCCCATCTAAAATATAAGGACAGCACAGTTCTCTGAAACTACCTATGATTTCTGCCTTGAAACTGGAATGAAAGCACATCTACTAGATATTGAAGTGTTTGTTGTATTTCGTATTATTAGACTTGAATTTCAAATTGAGAATTTAAGACTGCTTTTTGGGGAAGCAGTTTTTATACTGAATTATATCTGGTTAGGTAGGGGCATCTATTGGTGAAGTATAGCATTGCACTCTTAATTCTCCCTCTTCTCACCCCCTCTTTCTGTTTCAAACACACACACACTTCTGCTTTTTATTTTGTTAGGGTTTCTAGAAAAGTTGGGGTAACTTTTTCTGTCTAGGCAAAATGTTTAATGTCTATAGGCTTTGTGATATCTATCAGAACTTTTCTATGCAACTGTCATAATAGCACTTAATTCAAGCAGCCATAAGCTATATGTAATAACGAGAGTGGCTCTGTTCCAGCAATACTTCCTCCCTTCCCCTCCCCCGGATCCCCCACTTCGGTGCCAGTCCTAGGGCTTGAACTCAGCCCAGTTAGAAGCACTAGAAGGCAAGTGCTCTGCCACTTTGAGCACCATTTCCAGCTTTTGGATAGTTA